CTGGTGGTTCACATATTTGAATCCCACCACTGGGCAGGGGACTAAGGTAGGAGCAACCAGGACATGTGTTGTCTTGAGGTAGGAGATAAATCTAACATGAAGTTAAGTAAGTAAGAAGGTAGTCAATGACTCCGTTTATATTTAATTTGGGATCTTCTGGAGAAGATTTGGCAGCAACAAGAAATACCTTGCAGTTCTCAGTCCAGAAGGACTTAGGGAGCAGCTGGACAGGAAGGTGAGTCTTGAGGGTCCTTGGAGAGGGCATCATTTCAGCTTGGTCCACTCCTGTTTAAAGACACACCGAAGACAAAAGGGATTAGAATCCATATTTGGACCTGAATTAATAGTTAAGACATGTCTGGCTACTTGTACAGATTTGCTGAGGATGTCTGGTTAGGCATGTTCCCCCTGCCCCAATAAACAACTTCTCCCAGGCTTCTGTGTGGAAGTGGCAGGCTAGTTAGATCTACCCGAGGTCTGGAATGGCCTTGCCCATTCAATGAATGGGTGTCGATGATGCACAGGGGCCCTCTGACATTTCTCCAGGTTGCCTTCTTGTTGGATCATATCCACAATCTCTTGTATCCAAGTGGTACCTAAGGAGAGAGGGAGAGACCAACATTCGTCTATCCTGTGCTAGGCAGAAGCGATGTAGGCCTGAAGGCCCTCCACACAAAAGAAGCTGAAGTCTGCAATCACTCGCCTTTCTGCAGGTTTTCTGTCACTTCTGCCAGCCCCAAAATGGGGAAAGGGATTATGCAACTCTAGAAATCTTCCCTCTAATCATCGTCAGAAAGATTTAGCAAAGCCTCACAAGAACTATTTCAGCTTGTACAGCAGCTAAGAAAGGTTGAGAATTGGGATTTTGCAAAGGATCACTAAACCAGGTTAAATTCCTTCTGACAATACAAGATCATTCTTACCCAATCCAATGGCCATTCCAGACAGCTGAACAGACGTTCTTGGAAAACCCAGCAGAGTTATACTGGATCAATAATGAGACCTGTCCAAAGTCAGGAGGAGTTTACTTTAGTCCCCTGGACTGCAAGGTGATCAAACCGGTCAGTCTTAGAGGAGATCAATCCTGACTGCTCTTTAGAAGGACAGATCCTGAAGTTGAAAGTCAAGTATTTTGGCCACCTAATGAGAAGGGAGGACTCACTGGAGAAGGGCCTAATGCTGGGAAAGATTGATGGCAATAGAAGAAGGGGACGACAGAGAATGATGTGGCTGGATGGAGTCACTGAAGTAGTAGGCGTGAGCTTAAATGGACTCCAGAAGATGGTAGAGGACAGGAAGGCCTGGAGAAACGTTGTCCATGAGATCACGATGGGTCGGACATGACTTTGCAACTAACAACAACAACAACATAGGTAGCTTGGGATACTATATACTTAAGGTGACCAACTTTTTTACAATGAGAAGGAGGACACAAATAAGTTGAAGAAAAAAAAAGTGAGTCTAATGCGTGCGTGTGTGTCATGTCATGTTTCGGTAAGAAGTAAACAAAGCCACTTGCGTGTGGCACACTCTTGCGCGTGGCGCACTCTCTCAAAACAATTCTCCTGTGCGGAGTGCATGCGTCTCATAATCGTGTCTCGCCGCACTGTACCGAGCCTTGACAAATCGTCATGTCAAATACAAATACGTCACATCACACGGAACAGATCGGCTCAGCATTGATCGAATACGGAGATTTACAGATTAGTCTTCAAATATCAAAAAGGAGGACATGTAGGAGGACATCTTTCAAGAAAGGACAGAACTTACAAAAGGAGGACTGTCCTCCCTAAAGGAGGACAGTTGGTCACCTTAATATACTCGCAAACTGAACATGACTTCACCCCTAGATTCTTACCTGATTTGGGGTAAGTACAAAGAAGTATGTCATCTGGCTTGGCTTGGAAGCACTGGATCCGATCCCATTCATTACAAGTGCTTTTTGGTAAGGGAATCCCTTCCACCTCGCCTAGCCTAGGACGGGTCTCTGGCGTGGGTTCTTTTCCTTGCTCCATGGATGTTAGCTATAACATATGGACAAGACAGGCAAAAAAATATGAGGAAAAGAAAAAATTATTTCAAACATTCTCTAATGGATCCTTTGTAAGCAGGGTATTGGACAAGATCACCTCCAAGATCCCTTCAAACTGTATGATTTGGTCAGTGGTGGGATTCAAATATGTGAACAACCGGTTCTCTGTGTGGATGCCGCTTCCAGAAGTCCATTCTGGGCCTGGGCGACAAAAAATTAGCTACCGGTTCTGCCAAAGTGGTGCGAACCGGCTGAATCCCACCACTGGATTTGGTGTTATTGGGAAAACTGCATTATTAGCAAAAATCTTGATTTAACAGATTTCAGGTTAACGAGTTTCAGATCTAAGGGAAAATCTTTCTTTGCGTTTAGCAATCATCCCTATTTGGTGGACAAAGCCCACTAAATTCAATTCAGCCTAGATTATTTATAATTTATTTAACTACTAGCTGTACCTGGCCACGCGTTGCTGTGGCTCAGTCTGGTAAAAGCGTGTGTTGCTTTTACGTCCAACAGATGGTGCTGTTTTTCAAAAAAAGCATGTTTTTACCTGTCACAGGTGTGACATTTATATAATATAGGTATATAAAAACATGTGCATATTCGAATGCAACGTGTCAAAATTTCAAAGCAATTGGTGAAGAACTTTCAGAGATTTAAGATTTTGAACAAACGAACATTTACATTTTTATTTATATATAAGACAGATGTAGTGCTATGTAAATGGATAAATTTAGGAAAACAACATACATTTGGATTTAATAGCTACTCCATTTCCCCTTCATTCTGTAATTTTACTACATTTTTCCTCAGGTCATAAAGGAAGACATTGTGTGTACTCAAAGCAGTTTGTCTTCAGTTTGTTAGGCTTTCAAAATTTCAGGATAGCCAGCTTTATGCAATTCAGAGCTACGATGCTAGCCAAGGTTTCAAAACTACAGGTGCTTTGTTTGTATTAGAAGAGTTTTTTTCTGACTTCTGCATCCCTTTGGGGGCAAATTGTCTTAAATTCAGGGTATTATGGTCTATTTTTAAGATGAATGTGATCACCATCATACTTACTCTCTTCTACTCTTTCATTTCCTTTTAAAATAAAATGATTGGCTGCTAGAACTGCTAGAACTGTCAGTCACAGCCTAGTACACAAGTTCCTCCTCCCAGTGATTTTGGAAGGTGGGGGGGAACTGAGGGGAAAGGGATTTGGGAAGAAGGTCTGGAGTCCCAGGCCTAAGACCTCCATCTTTGAAGCCAGATTCCGGATTCTCTTTGGGTTCTTATATCTATAATCCTCGCTTAACATACACAATTGGCATCTATTGCCTGTTTCTCCATGGATTCTGCTTGTAAGAAACCAGCTGTGCTCAAATAGTGAACACGTGACTCCGTGATGCAGCAGCGATGGTCATACGTGCAAGGACTGGTCATAAAGTTACTTTTTTCAGCAGTGTTGTAACTTTGAATGACTGCTAAACAGGACAGTCATTAAGTGAGGATTGCCTATAGTGTCCTCTGGGTTTTCTCCACCTTGCGAAACTGGCAAAAGGATGATAATGTGCCACTTTTAGCCTGCTTTTAAGGGATTGGAACGTTAGGGGGTGGAAGTGGCATCGACTTGATTTTGAAATGAATGAAATGCCTTTTAGGCGCAGCAGTTGTGAAACTGTTAATTTGCAAAGAACACAAATTGCTTGCAAATAACTTTCGGAGTAATTTGCAAATTGAACTTGCTTGCAAATAACTTTCCTTACACATACCAGCTAGCCTCGCATGTGTTGTGACTCACCCAATGTTTAACGTGGAAAAAAGTCTCCTTAGCATTTTGAAAGTCTCTCAAGACATTGAGCAAAAGTCTGAATCTCAAATCTCAAATATTTACCCGTGTTGCATGACTGTAGTATTATTATCTTATCTTTTTTACTGCCCCCACTTATTGGTGTTATTTTAAGTATTATTTTAATTATTACTATTATTATTATTATTATTATTATTATTATTATTATTATTATTATTATTATTATTATTATTATTATTATTATTATTATTATTATTATTATTATTATTATTATTACCCTTTTGCTTTGCAAGTAGAGAGCTTCTGCACCGGAGACAAATTCCTTGTGTGTCTAATTATATTCAGTCCATTTTCTAATTCTAATTCTAAATTTTTTCTCCACCCTGTTGGGGAATGTTTAATCTCCCAAAGTCAATAACTTTCAAGATACTCATGTACTTTTTAATCTCACATGTACATACGCATATTTCTACCTTTGTTTCCTTTGCTATTTTATCTCAAACACACCTTGTTATTGACTCTTTCTCCTTGTGAATAAATAATTATTTCTTTAGAGGTCTAGAAAGTCCCCTCCCCCACCTAGGTTACATTTAATTTATTGGCAATTTTAGTTTGGTTGAGTATGTTTTAGTATAATTGTTGCCTGAACAGCATAGGCCAATCTTCCATTTAGGAGAGCTGGGTTAGTCCAGTGTTGCAAAAATAAAACCTCAGAAAGAGCTTAGTAGCACATTTTCCAGCTAACCTATTTTTTTTTTTTAAAAAAAAAGCACATCTATGAACAGAATGGGTCCCTTGTTCTACTGGCATTTTCAAATATCATTCCACAGAGGTTATACCAAGGATGGGCAAATTTTGGATCCAGGATCAATCAACCTTGACTCCTGTTTGATCAAATCATGTCATAGTCCCCAGAACAAGTAACATGTTATTACAGCAACATATTATTGCATCATTCAGAGTTGGGAAGTATACAGAAACTGTAATGCAAGCTCAGCTAGTTTAGCATTTTTAAAAAACAATAAGGGGGGAAAAACGTGATTGCCTCAAAAACGGAAGAAAAGGAAT